TAAATACATGAAGTCGCAGTATTGACCATCGCGAGCACTCAGTTCGGGGTTGAGATTAACGATACAAAAGTCAAAGTGAAATGTTTGCACTTTGAATTGTTGAGTGAAATCGAAAAGTGTAAATAATTTAAACAATTAAGTAACGAAAATGTAAATAAATATCAGTTAGCCTACGCAACGGCATGTGTAGTATTTTTGCGTAAAATATTTATTAACTGAAAAACAAATTAGGAGCGTATTAAACCATAATTGAGACTCGGAAATTGAGTACGTGTTATCGCACACGAACGGCGAGGCACTTGTCGTCGGCTTAATTGCGTTTTTATTGCATATTTTAAACGGTTTTGGCTAAAAGCAAACACATTTTTGTTTTAGGCGTAAAGATCAAGAGCTTTTCAATTTGTTTTTTCTTCTCGAAAGCTCAACATCTTCTTCTTCTTGCTCAACATAATATGAGGAAAACACTCATTTTGGCTATTGATGCATTTCAATAATATCAAAAATATATCAGGAAAATATTATGATCAGCTAAAACTGCAGCTTATAGAATAAATAATAAGAATAAACGATAACTTCGGTTGTATCGAAACTATCTCCACTTTGCTTGGTTAGTTTTTATTAAAGTTGTATCTTCTTATTTATCTGCGTAGACACCGCTTACGCTATTGTAGCCGAGTTAACAAGAGCGCCTCAGTCAATTGGATATGCCAAGCAAAGCCAGGTCTTTCTCCACTTGACGTCTTCCTCTTTCTTTGCTTTCCCCGGCGGGTACTGCGTCGAATACTTTCAGAGCTGAAGTGTTTTCGTCCATTCGGACAACATGATCTAGCCAGCATAGCCGCTGTCTTTTAATTCGCTGAACTATGTCAATGTAGTTGTATATCTCATACAGCTCATCGTACTACACTCATCGCTCACCGTACGTGGCTAACGCGCAAAGGACCTTAAATCTTTCGCAGAACTTTTCCCTCGAAAACTCGCAACGTCGACTCATCAGTGATTGTCATCGTCCAAGCCTCTGCACCATAGCAGGACGGGAATTATGAGTGATTTATAGAGGCATTGTTGCTGATGTTGATACTGGTTCCAAGATAGCCGAAATTATCTACGATTTCAAAGTTATGACTGTCAAAAGTGACGTGGGTGCCTAGGCGCTGTACACGCTTATAGAAGATTATATCTGCTCGATTGAGTTCTGCAGCTCGAATTATTTTCTTCACCAGTACATTGAAGAAGTTGCACGATAGCGAATCGCCTTGTTTGAAACCCCATTTCGTATCGAAGTATCGAAGTACTCGGAAAGGTCCTTCCCGATGCTGACGGAGCTTTTGGTATTGCTGAACGTCAGTTTACACAGCCGTATTAGTTTTGCGGGGATACCAAATTCAGACATAGCAGCATAAAAGCAGCTTTGAAGTCGACGAAGAGATGGCTTCTCTTTTCACGGGTCTTTTCCAAGATTCCAAGGTAAATATTTGGTCAGTTGTAGATTTTCCAGGCCAAAACCAAACTGACGGTTTAATCAGCTTGTTGACGGAGGGCTATAATCTTTCACACAATTCGCTCGATAGTATCTTTTATGCGATGTTGAGGAGACTTCTCCCACGATAGTTGGCGTAGATTGGGTGGTCTTCTTTTCTGTGGATTGGATAAAGCTCACTGAAATTCCAATCATTGAGCTTTCGTCCGACCATATATGCTATAGTGGTTCGATGTGAAAAATTTATCCCGGGATTTTACTGTCAAATTTCTGTGTAAAATTTAATGTATTTGCATACTCATATATACTCATAATTACTTTAGTATTTCTATAAATTTAAAAAATTTCATAAATTTCTATCCCACTAGGATTCAAATGGCGCGAACGGCACACTCTCAAAGGACACACCCTCGTTCGTTTCATGGAATTGGCCGCTGATCCGTAAATGCACATTTTTCGTCTTCATGTCCAGCTTATTAGCTATGTGTGCCGTAGTGGTGGCCATGATTGTTACCCTGCCAAAGACCTGCAATCCAAAGTGAGTATATAACAAATATTAAAAAAAAAAAAAAAATTAAATGTATATATTTCGAACTTACAGAACAGCTTGGTATCGCGGCAGCGTCTTCTATGAGATCTTTCCCGCCAGTTTCCAAGACTCAAACGATGACGGAATTGGTGATCTACGCGGCATTGCACAGCGTGCTGATTATTTGGCCTCACTTGGCGTGGCTGCTGTGCGTCTAAACTCGATATTCCAATCAGCTCACTACCCCGATGACTTTGCGTATCCAACGTCGCTGCTTCAGGTAGCCAATGTCTTGGGTACACCACAAGATTTGTATCGATTGATGGCAACACTACACGAGCGTAACATTTCCCTGTTGCTTGATCTGCCGATTAGCGGTTTCATTACAAGATTGGATGAAGCCACACCGACCAAACCTACAATAGTTGGAACACTTTCAACGCATTCAATTAATGAAACCGAAAGCACTGAATCAACTGTCACCACAACTAATGGGACTACCAAAACTTTGCCACAATTAACGATGCCTTCGGTTGATAATGTAGTCAGTGATGCTCTATTGAAATGGCTGCATTTGGGTGTGGATGGTTTTTATCTTAAAGGTTTGGAAAATTTTGCCAATGACGATCATCTGCTAGCCAATTTGAATGTGTGGAAAGAGATTGTCGGTCCCGATCGCATACTTATCGCTAATGAAGCACTAATTCAAGAGTTACATCCCACACTACGTCCATTGGCACTACAACACATCGATTTAGTCGATGTGCACTTGGACGTTTCGAACGGCACTAGATACTTGGAGCATCATATCACTAGACTTCTTAATGGTCCACTCGCACCTGTCGAAGTGGGTCCATGGTTGCATTGGTCTATCGGTGGCGTTGACCAACAACGCTTTACGCGTTACGGACAAAGCAAGAATATAACTTTGGCTGCAACTGTCATGCAACTCATGTTACCGGGCACTCCCAACATTTTCTACGGTGATGAAATCGCATTGGAAGCCATCACCGATACGCAAAATGAACATAATGAGACTAAACATCTACATCATCTCACCACTATGGAATGGTTGAATAGCACAAGACAGTTTACGAATCGTGAAACTTTGCCTTGGCTACCACATACAGCACAATTTAGTCAAGAAAATTTCGAAACAATCACGAAAATGATCGAATTACGCAATCGTTCGCCTTCATTATATAAGAATGCCATTTGCAAGCCGGAAAGCACACTATCCAACACAGAGATACGTTGCAGCAACGATGATATTTTAGTTGTGGAACGCGTCTATCCGCGTCGCAACTCATTTGTTTCGGTATCGAATTTCGGCCAGAAGCGTGTCTCTATGGATATGACAGCCATGTATTTTAGTGGCGTAAAAATGCTGGGCGAAGAACAGAGCGAGAAGATTTATTTTTCTAACTTCGAGATTGGTCCGTGGGAAACAGTTGTTGTTAAACTTGATAAATAAGTATGAAGACTTGACGAAGCTGACCGCTTCGCAGTTACAGTGTAATTATGTACTTACGTTTGTTTGTATATTTTTATAGATATAGTGGCCAAAAAATTGCTCATAAAGCGGTAAATAAAATAAATATTTGAGTTTTAAGATTGGAGATCCTTTTATGTTCTTAATTAAACTTATTAAGTAAAGAAGTATTTATTTCGTCGTTTGAGTTTTGGTAAATAGTCAGAAGTCACACGGAGTCAAGTCAGGCGAATGCGGTGGTTGCGGCACGATATTGGTTGAAAATTTGGCCGAAAAAACTCATTAAGAATCAAATATAGGACGGTACATTATCGTGGTGCAAAAACCAAGAGTTGTCGGCCCCTAATATTCACATAGTATTCCTTGTTTACAGTTTGGTCGGTCGGACGGTGGAGTGTACCACACCTCGGTAACCGAAAAAACAACATAACATTGATTTTTTACCTGTTTTAAGGAGAGTCGGCCGATTGATCATCTGTTGCCGTATCGTAAGTATAGATCCAAGACTCATCGTCGGCAATAATTGGTTTCATGACATTCCAGTAGTCGGAAAGCATTGTTTTACAGACGTTGACGCGATCCTGTTTTTCGAAAAAATTTTGTGTTTTTGGAACCATTCGAGCTTTCACTTTTCTCAGGCTCAAATAATCTTTCAAAATCGTTTTTACAAATCTTTCCGATAATTCAACAATGCCAGTAAGATGGCTGTCGATTCTCAAGTACCAATATTTACCAATATATACCTGTATTTTATTGACCTGTTGATCATCAGTTGATGTTGATAACCGTTCCAGATGTGGTTCATCTTCAACGCCACCCTCTTTGAATAATATGTAACAAAGTTTTGTAAGATTATCCAAACTTCTTTGAAGTATTCTGCAAACCATGTTTTCCAACTCGGACAAATAACTAATATTTGGACCAATCTGGATTTGTAGACGGTTAATCATATGCCGCTATGAAACCTGTGATATTGTTTTTAAGTCACTTCTGGATAGTGTTTTCCATGTGTGCTAGAGCAGAGTTTTGCTGGAAGATCCAATGTTCTCCATCAAAACTTAAGTTTTTAAAACATACGGCTGGTACACTTTTGTCCTAATTGCAATCCCTTTTTCACAGAAGCGAAGAGGTGTGAGACCTTCACAGGAGACTTCCCACCAAACCTTTGCAGCAACTAGATGCTGAGCACGTTGAATATGGATATAATTTTTGGCGTTTATTTTGTCACTGAAGAAATCATCTATATCCTTTGAGCCTAATTTGCTTCAGAAGATGACCGATTAACTAACAGTCGGCTTATTTCTGCAGACATGATCGCGAATAAGTATCGACATTGATCTGGTCTTTATATATATTACTCTGGGCATAATTTGCTAAGGGGATTTCAGCGAAAGCTTTCGCCTACAGTTTTTACAGCTGAATTGATTCTCCAGTAAAAATAATAACCTTCAAAACTCACCATAAATTACTTAAAGAGCTCGAAAAGCAAAAACAGTTGGAAACTTGTCGTAAATACATGCATGCATATAAATTTAATTTTATGGGTACTTTGGCAAAATTTCCGCCTTTTATCATCGACTTCGTAAACTTAATTAAGCATCTATTGATTTCGGTAAGTCCTAGTATTTATAATGGTTGATCACACAAATCTTAGTCTAGTATTTAGCCTCCTTTACTTATACTCCATATTTAATAAAACTTTTCGTTAATATTTACGATTTGATTTGGCTTGAATTTTACTTAGAAGTACTCGTCTGTATGGTAAGTATGAATGTTGATATTTTAAAGCAGTCAGAGTTCGCAAGGCAGCCACCTCGAGAATTGCCACAATAAAGCTCTCTTGCGTGCAGCCTAAACAGCCCAATAAGCTTTAGGAGCGACTGCGTTGCGCACTGCGACGATATTCTATACTAATATCATTATTAATTATTAAATTAACACACACATGCTGTATAATCATTTAGTTTCAGTAATAAATAACTTGAAATGCTGAAGTGTAAGTTCTCTTCGTCGCTTTCTTGGTCACCCGCTCTATACTAATCACTACTAATTCAATATTAAAATCGCTTAATTACTATATATATCGTTAATTAATTCATACATTCTTTTACATACACATTTACTCATCATCATCTTCATCGCCATCATCCTCGTCGTCATCAATGTCGTCCTCATCGATTTCGTCGTCTTCCTCATTATCATTTTCATCAGTGCTATCGCTTCGTTTTAAATTTTTCACACCACTTTTGGTTGGCGCCCTTTTCTGTAACGGCTTTTTGGTGGCTTTTTGGGTTTTCGATGCGGCTGCTTCGCCGTACTCCAACTCATCTTCATCTTCGGTGTCCAATTCATCGTCATCTTCATCGTTACCGTCATTATCGAGTGCACCATCATCGTCACTATCGTCGCCATCATTGTCTTTTCGTTTATTCAACTTCCGTTGTTCGTTATTTTTCGTTTGTTCCTTGACTAATTTGTTTAGCTCAGTGGTGTCCATAATTTTAACGCGTCGATTATTTGGATCCAGACATTTTACTTTGATGCTTACAAAGTCAGACAAGCGTTTGTCATCCCAGCTTGAATACTGTAAAATAAAAGCACAGTTTGATAAGTTGCAAATTTTAGAAATTATCTTAATAAACACATAATTAGATAGAACCATATTGGCGATACTCTAAATCAGTAAATCTATAGATGAATAAGATTGTAAATAGGTGATAATTCAGCAACAAGACTTGAGAGTTTACCCAAGCGTTTCTTTATAGAGCCTAAGTGTTCGAAAACAGATTTGAGAGGTAGGCTTGACACCCAAATCTTCAGGTATGGACATTATAACTATCTTAAAAAATCTCAGTGGTCTAAGAGCCTCTGTTACTCCGAAGGAATGACACATTGAGCAATCTGAAACAATAAATTTCTACGAAAGATTTGTGGTGCTTTACGCCATGGCCACGGCGAATATCTCATTCGATGGAACGATGAGCTGTATGAGATATACGACCACATTGACATAGTTCAGCGAATTAAAAGACAGCGGCAACGCTGGCTAGGTCATGTTCTCCGAATGGACGAAAACACTCCAGCCTTGAAAGTATTCGACGCAGTACCCGCGGGGGGAGCAGAGGAAGAGAAACACCTCTACTCCGTTGGAAAGACCAGATGGAGAGGAACCTGGCTTCGCTTGAAATATCCAATTGGTGCCACGTAGCGAAAAGAAGAAACGACTGGCGCGCTGTTGTTAACTCGGCTATAATCGCGTAAGCGGTGTCTACGCCAATAAAGAAGAAGAAGACAGCACTGATCCAATAAACTCCGAAGTCACACAAATCAGATTGCATTTATATGTATTTTAATGCAAATCTTTATTATTCACTTCAAATTATTTTCTTGATCCAACACAAGCATGCCAATGCTTTGATCAATTTTCCATACACTTGTTATAAGTCTCGGCAGGGTACAGCCTTCAGGGTTTCGATACAGTTTTGGTGCCCGATACGCTAAATGGATAGTTTCCACGTCTTATTCATAAAGTCAAATCTCGTCACAAATAGTGATGTGTTTAATGAATATAGCTTCCTCGGCTACGTTGTTAAGCAACTCTTTTGAGACCTCTAATCTACTTTGTTTTTGCAACAGGTTGAAATATTTTAGTATAAGTCTAATTATAATAAAAAGTTTCGTACCCAAAACATTATCCAAAATATTAACGAAAACATTAACCAAAATGTCTTGCGTCCACTCTTAGGAGATGTTGTGATGATACTCTACTATCTCTCTGAAAGCAATGCATTTCCTTTCTTATCTTGATTTTGATTGATAGTGTGGTCTAAACAATTTCATCAAATATTTTAGTTTTGCCTTGGTCAGTAATTTATGAAAAAATTGACGAAGATATCTCCATATAACGACGTGATTTTAATCGTTCAGTTTATAATACACTTATATGCTATAGTGCGCGCCAGTTCTTATAAATAAGAAGAAATAAATGTTGAAAGATTTCGAATCGATATCGCAAAACTGGAAATTTTGTTTGATTGAAGACAAATCGATGGAAAGAGTAAAAAGTATAATTTTATATGTGCAGGGTTCCGAAACTGTTATAAAGTGGCTTATGCAATATGCACAACATTGTTCATTTCAAAGCTGTGACCTCTGCAAATATTGTCCACAATTTTATCATATCAAAACTTTAAAAATATTATGGAAGCTTTCAAAGATCTCAAGAGCAATTTCGAGTAGAAAGTATGTACATATTAACATAATTTTCGTTAATTGAAAAGTGGAACAATACCTCGGCTCTTTCTTCAATCTACGCTTGGCGTCTAGTTTTTGGCTTCAAGTACTACTAAGATATGTACGCACCCCTGTAAAATACAACAATCCGATTTCAGCAAATAAAATATCTTTTAATATAATACTATGAGATCGGACTCAAGTATTCCTCAAGGATAATGGAGGTATATTAAAATAAATCTTTGTGACATGATTTAGTCCGTTCTCAGTAATCGCTTAACATTAAAAAATTTAATATACTTTCATAATTCTTAATTAGCTTAAACTTCCACAATCCTGTTTATCTTAAAATTAGCGTAAAGACCATGTTCATTTACTCACCACGGAGCTGGATGTAAAGAGCAGCTCCTCCGGTGCGGTCTTTACACGTATATATTTCTGCAACAAGTTATTATCATCCTTTCGCCATAAACATAAACGATTATTTTTGGAATAATCCTCATTCAAGTCGCGTTTGTAAAGTAGCAACTCAAGCGAATGTTGTCCTCCGCCTGCTGAAGAGCCTGCCGTTGCACCAGGCGTTGCGGATGTGCTAGTTTTTTCCGTGAATTGCTTTTTAGGTGGCAAATTATTAGCTGCTGCTGCTGCAACACTACCACCACCACCACTCTTCTTTGCAGTTACCGCCACGTTTGCGGCACCAGTCGTTGCTTGCGCCTCGTAATCCTCATAATCGTCCAGCTCATCATCACTCAACTCCTCATTCAACACAGCATCTTCATCCTCATCGATATCATCATCATTATCCTCATCATCATCTTCATCACTTTCTTCGTATGCAGCACTGGGCGCTTTACGTTTAGCCACCACTGTTTGTTGCTTACCACCACCCACATTCGTAGCGCCTTTACGCTTTCGACCACGTTTGGCATTGCCGCCACCGGTGATGCTGCTTGCACCACCGCCGCCAGCTGCTGCGGCACCAACACGACTTTGTTTTTGCTTTTTGCCATTTTTATTGGCCGATGATGAGGCGGCCGGGCGCCAATCCTCCTCAGAGTCATCATCGTCCTCACTGTAATCCTCCTCGGAGTCCTCGAAAGTGGTGGTCACCAGTTCTGTGCGACTACGCATTTTCCGGTTGTTCAAGTTGTGTTGCGGAGCTTATTGAAAGACGCTTTGTGTTGTTTTTTGCTTTAGCTGCTTACTTTGTGTTTGGTGGCTGATAGGATATACCGTTAGTATTGGAAATGTGTCAAGGAGTGGGGGCGTTGTGCAGAATTCGTAAATTTTCTATTAAGTGCCAGCAGTGTCTGTGTTACACTTATGTTAATGCAAATATCCACTTTTCACTTTATTCGGCTGAAGATTAATCTTCTCACATACTTCACAATTCACAAATATTTTCTTACAAATTTTTAATTGCAAAATAATCCGTTTTCTTTTCCTTTCGTCTACGATTTATCGCATCAACACTTCGGCTCGCCATGAGAATCGTATTTTTTTCTATGCAGTTCCTTTTCCTGCCACAACCGTACTCTCTTAGTTCTGCTCATTGAATGAGTACTAAAGAGTTTTCCACATACCGTTATGTAGGCATGTAAATTTGCAGAAATTTTATTTATTTCTATTGCTATTTGTCATGTTGTTTCAACTCGAGAAACAAGAGATCTAAAATCGTATGGCATTTGTAATAAGCAACCAAAAGTTGTATCTGTTTGTGTATGTAAATTCCGAGACTACATGCAAATGTTCCAAGAAATACCATTCTACACGCTCATAGCATCCTTGTAAACATACATCTCCCTCTTTCTGTTTAGGGGATGAAATATATAAGTGCAAAAAGACAGTCCAAAAGTGGAGCATTTCTTAAAAAGCATGCTTTGTGGTGAAAAGCTTTACATTTGTGAACTTAAAAAGCTCTCTTTTTACACTATACACTATGAAAAGCTTATTAAACAACTATTTCCTTCACTTCTTCTTTACGTACAATTTCCAGTTCCTTCCGAGCGAAAGTATTAGACTAGTCCATGCGCGTTATGAGTTTTCGAAAAAAATGTGCTGTATAAGACTTATGGTCCTTTATGCATTGGCAACGGTAAATACGGCAGTCAATGGAACGTTGAATTGTGCGTGATATACGACGACATTGACATAGTTCAGCGAATTAAAAGACAGTGGCTACGCAGGCTAGGTAATGTCGGCGAAATGGATGAAAATTTTCCAGCTCTGAAAGTATTCAACGCAATAGCCGCCGGGAGAAGTAGAGGAAGAGGAAGACCTCCATTCCGTTGGAGAGACCATTTAGAGAAGGCGCCAAACAGCAAAAAGGAAGAACGATTGGCCCGCTGTTGTAAACTCGCCGTAGTATTCGGATACATAGAAAACATGTTATGCGCTGCTGATTTACCATTCACTGTTCAAAAATTAATTATTAGCAAAACTGATCTTTCTGTATAGACTAGCGATACATTTATTACTAAGAAATTGGCAGACTATTTTCGAGTGCTGATAATAAAATAATTGATTTAAATATTTTCTATCGATTCATTCAGCTTGATGTCTCTTGTGCCATACCAAAAGGGTTATTTAAACAAAAATATTTTGTCTAATGAAAAAAATCTTCCATAACAGAACTTGATTTTGATCAAGCTTCCCATACAAATCCTCAGCAGTCATCGAAGTTATCTGCGAGACTCAAAAATGCGTCATATGAGAACTAAAGCCTAAAAGCTTGGCTTAAGATTTGAAAACTCACGCATAGATAAATGCAATCCGTTCACACATGAGCACCCCTCATAACAGTTGACATTTTGGATCAAATAATGGGTAGCTAGAAGCGAGCTCTGTCATAGCTACTACATGCGCTGTAGTTATCAACAGACACAATGCATATGTAAAGCATATATATACAGATATAAACTTGTGCACATACTATGTACATAAGTATATATTTTGAATGTATAGTACATAGATAAATAGATGACAGCAGCAATGGCATGTGCAAAGTCACCTGTCAGTGAGGCGCTCACGTAATAACTTTTACTATCAACAGAGCACAGTTGGCTGATTTTTCAGATCAACTAATGATTACAATTTTGTGCGTTTGTAAATATGTATATACATACATAATAGTATATATGTTTGTATTTGTAGACACTGCCAATATGTTGGCTTATTTGATTTGACTCATTGATGGCTTGGTGCTCGCACCATGTTTGAGCCGCTTAATATCGGCAGAGAAATTAAAATATTTAATATGCCAAACACATAGGCGCATCGGTCAGTGAGTCGGGTGGACAACAATTACAATGTAACAGCCAAAAATTGTACAAGTGAGGGCACGCAGCTGTGTGAGCGTAGGTGTGATTGTTTGCTACTTCTGACCGCAGGTCTCAACTGAAAGGTTTCTTATGTTGTTGCTGCTTTGTTTTTTTTTTCTTTCTTTTTTATTTCATTCAATTTTCTCTGGCTCATTGTTGCCTACATATGCTTAGTGGTTGTTTGTGGGCAAGGCCAAAGCCGAAGAAAGCATAATAATAGTGCACTGATATGGACTTACGGCAAAGTACGACAAGCGCGCATGCGCAGCTGACTCTGAAAGCACATGCGCTTACCGACGCAACGGCGCTCTTCACTTTGACATACCAAAGTACAGTGGTAGCCAATAGTATGCTGGTTTTAATATCACAATGATTTCAGTTGGCAACCCTAAATAATACTTCCAAGTTAAGCTGTCTTAAATATCGTAAAATTTTTAAGTTCATTTATATTAGCATTAGTGTTGACAACATTTGAAGTTCCAGAACCCCTCACCTGTTCCAAAGTTTTACAAAAAGATTGTTATATTTAACAATGGCCGGTCATTGCCCGAAACCAGTGATATCGGATCACTATAGCACATACTATAGCTCTTTTACAAACTGAGCGATCAGTTTTAAGGGGGTAGTAAGGTTAATTCGAGAGAAAAAATCATATTTTCAATAATTTTTTTTTAAAGATACCGGAAAAAGTGAAGTGTGAGAAAAACACGTTTAAACTTTCACAGCCGCACAGAATCGGCGGAGACTTACAAGTGTATATCTCCGTCAATTTTGCTTTAATTGCTCTCAACTTTTCACAGAATAATCTTTAGGGAAAACTTTTTTATTTAAAGGATGAGCCATTTCCCTATGGATTCCTACTTTTTTTTTAAAGAAAAAACACTAACACTTCAAAATTAATGGGTAATCATTCGAGAGAACATTCTGGTGGTCGCCATTGACTACTACTACACCAAACCGTTGTTTTTATACTCTCGCAACAAAGTTGCTAAGGAGAGTATTATAGTTTTGTTCACATAACGGTTGTTTGTAAGTTCTAAATCTAAAAGAGTCAGATATAGGGTTATATACACCAAAGTGATCAAGGTGACGAGTAGAGTTGAAATCCGGATGTCTGTCTGTAAAAATTCAGATATCTTGATGAAACTTGTCATGCGAGAGTATAAAATGTTCGGTGACACCCGAACTTAGCCCTTCATTACTTGTTTCTAGATAAAATGGTGGCTCTGAAATATCTTCAGGTTGCTCTTCGTTCCGAATGTGGTAGTTTTGCTTACCCATTGAGTCAGCAATGGGCCTCATTGTCTAATCGTCTTGGAACTTTTCAAGAGCCCATAGAGCGAAGCGAAGTCGCTTGAGAAGGTCGGTCCAGCCAAGCCGTTACTAGAACGCTAAGCGAACGTTCCCCACTTGAAATCAAAACGGGTAAAGTGTAGAGTATTCTCAAATGCAATGGTGCAAATATTTGAGAAAAGTCTTCCTAAATTTTCAGCATTGACGGCATTCGATAATTGGTATGGAGTAAGACGTTTCAAAATTTGTATTGTAAACGTGTATGAGAAGCTTTAATAAATCAATTATCAGGTACATTAACGTAACTTGTTTTTACAAAATTTTTTGGATTATAAAAGCTCCTTCCAGAACTCCGAGGCTAGCTGGAATAAAACCCGACCTTCTGTCCTCTCGGGTCTTAGACATCAAAAGAACTGGGAAAGCACTAAGTGTAGGTAGAGTAAGGAAGCCCAGAAATGCCTTATATGTATGTGGGCTGATGCTCGGCACCACTTAGTATATAACTTCTTTGCTAAAAACTGCGAGGCAAAATCGGCAGTATCAGTACTCGGACATAGCTCGGTGAATATTGACGGTTTAGCAGCCACCGATTCATGTACCCACTCTTCAATTGTGAAAGAGGCTTCAAAGTAAATTTAAAAAGAGATGGTTGATGTAAAGACATGGCACCTGCGCGTTAGAATATATTGCCCCGATATAAACATAAGGCAGCCTCTTTAGCTGCCGCAGCACCGCACGGTCCATCAAGCAGATATTTTCGCTATAGGGAAAGACGCGGAGCTAGCTTTAAAGCATCAGCAGGAAATCATAGAAAGCGATCAAGATCATAACCTCGTTTCGAATCGGCCAGAATTGCCTTCGAAAGCAGAACTGCATTGGCGGGTGTCGCCAGAAGCAAGCGACTTCCCCTTTATTGTGTGCCAGGCCACAAAGGCATCGACGGAAATGATATAGTGGACGAGGTTGCCAACTTAATATACGCTGTTCAGGGTATAAAAAAGAATGTTTTTTTTACCATTCCCTTCAACTCTACCCAGTTGTTTATTTCATTGTTAAAAAGTCTATCAAACTTAACTCACTGCCTTTTAAAAAATTTTATCGCCTGCACTTGCTGACTTCGCTCAATTAAAGTGCCACAAATTCATATACATCCATTAAGTCACATACATTTCACACACACTGTATACAAAGTACGCATGCGCGGCATCGCTTTGTTAAACGAAGAAGTGCTAAAATGGAATGTAAATGGAAGTATGGAGAAATTTCAAAAACGACACAACAATAGCAGCGACAGCACCAGCGGCGATACGTTGCTGAGGTGCAAAAAATATTCAGTTTGTTTTGCTACATCCATCCATACAGACGCGAAGAACGGTGCGCCTGCGCAGAAATCGATTCAATTTTGTGAACATAAAGTCGTAAAGTGGTTCTTACAGCGCTGCGTTTATTATAACGGTATTAAGAATAGTTGCATAAGCAGAAAAAGCAAAGACTAAGATTACCTAACCGCATAATAACAATCAATCAGTCCATCGGTTACGCTGCTTATATTGTCTACACACACAAAATATGGCTCAACTGTTGCATCACTTTGTTGTGGTTCTGCTCGTCAGTCTGAGTGCCGTCTCTTTGGCCTGGGGACGAGCGACTAAAACAAAGGCGACGGCAGCGCCGCTGGCAGATAACAGCAAACAATTGTTTGTCTTCGGCAGCGGCAAGGAGACGAGTCCGCCAAATTTTGTGCGCCTGGTCGTCATGCGACTCATTTATGGACTCGCCTCGACAATGGGTCTGGAGGAGCGACTGGAAGATGCCTTCAATGGCGCCTTTGTGCCGCCCAATGCCGATGGTGGTGGTCTCTTTAGTTTCGGCGGTTACGATGACGATGATGATGGTGGCGACTTTGGTGCGCTCTTCGATGATATCTAAAGCGGCATCGAACCAACGAAGTAACGGTGTCGTGTGCCCTGTATGCCGTGTAATAATTATTACGTTCAATTATAATTTAACTTTCGAATCGGCTTTCATTGGCGTATATACGCACATATTTACACCTTCATGTGTGTGTATGTAGGTCAAAGTGTGCACGAAGAGAAAGATAGTGTGACCAAAAATATTAAATTATTTTAAATTAATTTAAATTATTTATTTTATGTAAGTGTAGCTATTTAATGAATAGTCCATAAGTAAAAAACAAATTTGTAAATTCTAATTATGTCATTTGATAAAAACGCAAACGCTGGAAAAGTGTTACGAAAGTGGCGAAAAAACCAATAAAAATACATACAAACGTATAACTGAACCGAACGTGTTATTCATTCTGCAAAGTCAAATATTGAAAAACTTTCTACTCTGCATATGCGCACATATTTCGGAATATATGTACATATTTATGTATTTATACATAGTATATAAAAGTTTTGGCTTCCGATGAAATCGAAAATTAAATATTAATAAGTAATTAACTGTTGCGCGCACATCACACATACATACAAGCCTTTAGTTTTCAGTAGAAATGAGCACTTTACCGCAAATATCGGTCAATGTGTGTGATACTATATCACTAGGCATCAAATGAAACTATAAATGTAATATACTTATATATTGGTAACCTCAGATCATTCATTCACTTACTACATTTTCGCTTAAGAATAAATTCACAAAGCATTTCATGTAGATGCACCATTATGTAAATAAACAGTTGGAGTTATTATTTAGACGCAAAAAAATATTTGCTCCATCGAGAGTGATTCGTCTTCGCAGGTAAGCCTATGAGTGCCCGTCAAATGAAAGTATAATTTTAGTTTTGGTTCATTTCCTTCATGGTGAAACTGAATTTTAATACAGATTTCAAAAATTTATATTTATTAAGGGAATTTCTGTTATGGTTGTGGTGAATTTTTTTTCTGTTCTTAATAAAAAATACGAAAAACTGAAGCGAATCAGATCTTAATTGAAGAAGATGGGAAGAGGGGTGAAACGTATCAAAAAATATATGAAAAATATTACATTTCCATCTTAGAAGCAAGAAAGATTTTTGAATACTCTGTATAAGTGAAGTAAGACATGCAAGACTCAATGCAGTGGAGGTCCAAGTTCCAAAATTTCTATGCAACTTATATGAAGAAAATCTCCTGAAAACCCTAAACCCTTTTCGCGGGTGTTGGTTGAAAGTTTTGATTTTAATATTTCCATTAGTACAATACAATGGTTTTAAAAACTATGTTGCAAAAACACGATATATTTTTCCCATTTCGTGTAGGAAAACAAACACTAGAGTTTGCTAAACAATATCTAAATATGCCAACCACATTTTGAAAGAAAGTAATTTGGTCCGATGAATTCCAATTCGAGGCGAACGAGTTAAAAAACACATAAGATAGTATGGTGTAAATCTTCTAATCGCTTAAAACCACAGTGCATACATGGTGAAGCATGGAGCATGTTCTCTCATGGTTGGGGCTGTTTCTCAAAATTTGGTGTAGGTAGTGTAGTTAAAATCAATGATCGAATGACATTCTTAGCGTAATTTTAAAATAAATGCAGAAAAAGGGAACTTGGGGTGGTTTATCTCCCAATAACATAACGACCCCCAAACCAGTCGTATAAAATTAGAATAATTTTTCTTAGAGATGAAGTGTCAATTTTAGATTATTCCAATTAAAATATTAGAAAATTTGATTTGAGGCATGCCAAAACGTCTACGTGTAGTGATGCAGAATAAAGAAGGCAATATTAATTACTAAATTTACTTTTAAAGCAAAATTTTTGTATTTGTTCAAAATTTAGGCTTGCATTTGACCAGTTTTGTTTATGAGCCTTTTTTTTTTTTAAGTGGAATTAAATTTTTTCCTTTCTATTCCGAGAAAAAGATATATTAATTTATAATATGTTACTTGAATATCTATGTAAATGTATGAATTATTAATTGTTTATTTTAATAAAACTGCATTGAATAACGTTTGTAAGATTTATACTTTCATTTGATGCCTAATGTATTTACTATACTATATAATTCTAATTAAAGGAGAATCCTTTCCTGACAATGGTATGGATGTGTGACAAAAATAGGTTAAGAACTGATCAGAAATCTGAATACAGGTAGGTTGAATCGGGTCAATACTTCTCTTAACAACCTAATACAACAATTTTCGAACTTCCAAGTGACTTTATACCGCACATCTCGACCAATATTAAGGTTATCCCATTGATAAGAAGAGAGCGGGTTTTACGCAAAACAGTGTTAATTTTTCCTTAAAATGGATAAAATTGGTGAAATTTTTGACCTAGTCTCCACATAGCAAACATATGTATAATCCGGTTGACTTTACTCTGATCTTGATTTATGATTGGTAATTTTTTTCAATGTAACGCAGCTTGATAAACAACATTTTTTGGTTTCTGTTCCGGTGTATAGAAAAGATGGTGCGAAAAATATAGCATTTCCAAATTTATGCCACACACTATGCGATTATCCATGTGTCCTGTTGATTCTCATCTCAAATGCAATTTTCAGTGGAAACGGTATACGTTAGAACTAAAATGGCAAATCGTTAAAGCTCAGAGGAATTCGTAGAATCAAGCATTGTGGCCCCTTGTATTCGATAGTTGCGTCACAATCAATCGGGTTCCATTTCACAGTTTCGGCGCATGCAGATTGCGAAACATAATAACTACAGATCCAACTTTAAGAGTCTCCAAAGCCTCTTCATAGAATTTGGAAATTCCACTGGATAATTCACGGCGTCTTCTTCATTGTCAAGACGATCGATTGATTTGTATCCGAGAATTTGGCTTTGAACCTTCCAGTTTAAGTCAAAAACAAATTGTGCAAACTTCATTTGCATTCCAGTGATTAATATGTTCCAGCAATTGTAACCGTTGGCTTACTTCTCCAAAACTTGCACACACCGTTTCATTCACAGTACGCAATGATTCAAATGAAGTTGAACCGCGTACATTAATCAAAGCAACCGAAGGTAGAAACAATGGTCGTTTTTCTGTTCGATTGTGTGAATTTGTCCTCATGTATTAGTCGGTAACACACCCGGATGTCCATCTACTTTTTGGCATTGCTTTCTGCGTTACTATTTCTGCGACGATGCATTCCATGTATAATATCAAGGCAGTTCCGATAGAGCAATGTTCTTGCAAACGGATCACTGACGAAAGTTGAGCAAAAACTCGTAAATGTTAATTTTGTTGGAGGCGGTGTTTCCACTGGCTCTACTGTATTCTCTGGGTTGAAATACACTCTTTAGCCATTCTCCAAATTAACTGCGAGACGCACAAAAGTCGGAAACGTTCATTAATTGCAAAAGTAAATATTCTACAAAGCGCTTTATTGCAGTTCACGTATGACCGTATCGTTCAAGTCCAATAATCGCCATGTTGCTTCCTTTGGTGACGTAATTACAAACGTATTTTATCGATTACACCAAACTGCATTACTCAACATGGATATAAGTTTTGGATGTGAGTTACACAATAATGGTGAATATAGTACGAACCATGTGCTGTCAATTTCGATATTCACTCTTCTAAATTGAATGCTAAATGTGCTGCCATTGTCGTCTGGTGAGCGACGCCGATAGAGTGGATATGCATTATCTCTAGCAGAAATAAAGGGATGTCCAACTTATTTTAGTGTGAGAGCGCTTTAAAATTTGCGTTTTTTATAACATTTCCATTACGGCCAGATTGAGCAAAATAATAATTTTTGGGCATTTAAATCAAAACACCCAACATTTGTACGAATAAAAACTACTATATAGTGGTTATTTATTAAATGGAGAAACTGTTTAAATCTTTTTATAGTATATTAGAACAACTGATTTTTGACCTTTCAATGCCCAATAAAGGGATTTAAGCTTGTTAGCTCTCAATCATTATAGGTTTTTAATAATTTTCCATTGAAAATAATACTATGATGCTTCAAATTACGAAACGCTTTAACAAATACCTTTAAATTCCAAAAATTTATTTAATTTTCATTCTTTTACATTTTTTATGAGTGGTCTTAAACGATGCAACAAATCCCTCCGTTTACATATTTTTTATATTTTTGGCCATCGCTCGTTTCCAATTGCTATGACTCAAATTGTTCTCTCATTTGCAGTGAGAGATGAGTTGAGCATCCCTTTATGTCTGAATTCTAGTTTGTGTTTCCGAAAGAAAAGCACTTGGATAGCGTTTCGTGCAATTATTGTCAGACTTACAAACCGAACTGTTGACAGTTAATTAGAAACTACACCTGTTTTGAAGTAAATTATGTTTTTTCCAATAAACCTCATATTTTTTTTTGTATTTTCACTTATTTTATTGAAACCTATGTTAAACTTAAACACTAATTGCAAAAATTTTGTTAAAATTCCTTTTTGTTTTGAAGATTTTAACAAAACATGTAATTCAGCGATTCAAATCAACGATTTCAGCGCCGGAACTAATTAAGAACGAGAATATTTTATCAACAAATATAATGATATTACAAAAACTTGCCTACTTTCAGTCAGTGTTTTGTACGTTATCTCTTTTACTTTAATATTGCTTTACATCGATTCCGAATTTACGTTATAAGACTCTGAGAGCACACCAATGGTATAGCTTGCCATGCCGTTCTAATTTCATCACAAACAACATCCATATTTCGGATATTTTTGGGTGCATATGGCTCTTTTAACATCACCCAAATATGTTCTATAGGGTTTAAGTCTGGGTTGGACAATTCCCACTCCAAAACATCGATAGAATTTTTGTGTTAACTTATACGCATGCTTTCAATTGTTATCTTCCATATAACAGGCGAATTTTCCTTAGCCCATGGCAGGAAGCCATTTTTTAGGATGTCGACGCATTGCTCCTTGTTGAAAATTCCATCAACCTTATGGAGTGGACCAACACTATTCCAAATAAAACATCCCCACACCATGTTTGATCCTCCACCACGCTCAACTGCGCGTTGAACTTAGCGAGGTTCAAATTCTTGAATTATTGAACGGCGAACATACCTTCGACCGTCAGGTCCAAAGCGATTAATTTTTCTTACATTGTTCCAAACAACATACCTCCATTGATTTGTTGTCTTAGACCAATAAGAGCAAAAGTCTACGCGTCGCTTTTACGAATTTTAGCAAAAAGTGGGTTCCTGCGTGCTGCTCTGCCGTGAAGTACAGATTCGACCAAATGCCGAGCAATTGTTCTTTTGGATATTTGGACATTTATATTCGCCTTGAATTTCATGTAGAATGTCAGTGAAACTCCTTTTTTGTGTCTCCTAGGGAAACAGTAGTAGTTCTGCGGTAT